AACGCTCAAGAGCATCGTCAGTACCCGCACTCGTTATAGCGAGTGCGGTCTCAAAATCAGCAAGCATATCACAGTAATCTATGTCATCATGCAAATGAGAGTGTTTCCCATTCTCAGACACAAAAAAGGTAGCATGTTCATCACCAGCACGCAGAATCAATTTACCACTATGCACATCAATAAGCGCCTTGGCGGTGGCGAGAAACGGTCTACCCAAAATCAAAGGTACATCCACATCCTCATTTATATCCAAAATAACAAAGTCAACAGGATATGTGAATGCACCCACATTAACAAGCAAATCCTCAATGATACCCTAGGATGCACGATAGAACGATTAACTAACTGAATGCTCATCCTAGTAGCTCTAGGTTCACCTAGGCCTAGCTTCTTAAACAATTTGTAAGGCATGACGTTTATGCTAGCGCCTAGGTCCGCCAAGGACTTTCCTACATGCATGCTGCCAATAACAAGAGGGATAGTGAAACTCCCTGGGTCTTTTCGCTTCTCGGGCAGCTTGTTCTGCAGAATAGCAGAACACTCCTCGCTCAGCATCACTGTCGAAAGATCCCCAAGTTTCTTCTTGTTGGTGAGGAGGTCCTTCATGAACTTGGCATACTTGGGCATCTTTGACAGTGCCTCCAGGAACGGCATGCTGATGTTGACCTGCTTCAACATTGCCATGAACTTGGCAAACTCAGTCTCCAGCTTGTCTTTATGTAAGCGAGTGGGGAAAGGAAGCTGAGGTACATGCTCCTTAACCAATGGCTGTGGCTTGGGAGCAGGTGTTTCTTTGTCTTCCCCCACTTCTGCATTATCAGTTGGAAGTGTTGAAGCAGGTAGTGGCTCATCTCTACTGGGCTGGGCCGGAGCAGCAGATGTGGTCTTGCCACTCCTGGTAGTGATGGCATCTAGCTGCTGGTGCTGGTGAGGCTCACGAGGATTAGGAATAGTGGTAGCAGGTAGAGTCCCCGGTGCCCTGGTAGTGTTCTGGCGAGCAAAGCTACCCATATGGTTCTGCGGATCTTACAAAATGGCACCTTGGTTCCTCTGACCTGCCTCCAGTGAGGTTATGCTTTGGTCCAACCTCGTGACAGTTGCCTGAGTGGCAGTCATGAATGAAGCTAGAATATTTTCCAGCTTTGTCATCTGATTATCTGGGGCAGGAGCTGCTGCTGGCTCGGCATACTGACGTAGGGGCTGCTGGAATGGTTGCCCCTGCCTAGGCTGGTAGGGCTGCTGCAGTGGGGCTGGCCCTTGTCGAGCTTGGAAGGGCTGCCTCTACTGAAAGCCACCAGCTGGTGCTGGGAAACCAGGTGGTTTAGTGGTGTTGCTGCTCCAAGAGAAGTTGGGATGCTGGCGCCACCCCTCATTATATGTATTACTGTACGGGTCGAGGCGCCGAGCATTGGCGATGAAGTCCAACTGCTCTTGGGGAGTAGTAGACTCCCTCATAGCCTGGCAATCTTCCACTAGGTGATTTGAGCTCTCACACCACTGACATTGAGCTACTGGAGGTGTAGCCAAACCTCTGCCCGGAATCAGACTGTTGGGCTGCTTCAATGTCTGCACTAACTCAGCTACCTGCTGCTCGAGCCCGGATCTGGTCTCTATGGCGTGCACACCACGGTCCCGGGAATGTCTGCCTCTGCTGCTCTGCCCCCAGGAATGATCTCTGGCAGCCAAGGTATTGATCATCTGGTTCTGTTCTGGTGGAGTCTTAGTAAGAATATCCCCTCCTGGGCATAGAGACTCAATCACCCTCTGGTTGTCCGGAGAGAGAGCATTGTAGAAGTTCCCCACTGTGAATGCATCACTGAAGCCATGATGGGGACACTGCCAGAAATATCCCATGTACCGCTCCCATGCATCACGAAGTGACTCATCTGGCTCTTGGTGGAAGTGAGTGATCTCCCGCTGGATCTCTGTAGTCTTCGATGCCGGATAGTACCTGTGCACGAATTTGTCAGCCAGATCGTCCCAATAGGTGATGGACAATGGGGGCTGGGTCTCCAACCACCTCTTAGCATTCCCCGCCAGAGAATGGGGGAAAAGGTGAAGGCAGATTGCATCATCGGGGACACCGTTCAGCTTGAACCCGTTCGTCAGCTGCAGAAAACGGGAAAGTGTACCCTGGCCTCCTCATCCTTCAAGCCATGGAACTGGATAGAGGATGTAATGAGCTGAATCCAGCATGGCTTGATCTTGAAGTTGTTCGCAGGAATAGGTGGGTAGAGGATGACCGGGCGGATGTCAGCAATCCATGGAGTGTAGTAGTACTCCAAGGTGGGACCCGGCGGCGGTGGATGATGATGAACCCCATCTGCCTGGGGTATGGGGCTGTTCCCCAGGACCTGATTCACCGGGGGAGTCTGCTGAGGATTCCCCTGGTGTGGATTGTAATCTCCGTCCATCCCGTACTCTTCCTCAGAATCGCTGCTCAAGTGGCCGTCTATGCGCTCTTCCGTAGCCAGTCTAGCTCGCTGTTGTCTCCTGAGTTGGCGACAGGTGCGGTCAATCTCTGGATTCAACGGCAGTAAACCTCCCGACTGGCTACAGGTCATGCACTACCTGCACACACTCAAGCAAGCAAACCCGTGAAGGGACAAGTGGGACAAAGCAAACCATGCGAAAAGAAAAGCTAAATTAACAGAAATCACTTTTCTTCAACAACCTAGCCGTCCCCGGCAACGGCGCCAAAAACTTGACTCACTCCTACTGTCACCCTAGAAAATGGCCAAGTGAAACCACTTCCTAAGGCGTAGTATAGTGGGTTTGGGTTTTAATGTCAACCCGGGTCCTAGATTTGATGTGTAACACCCTACCCTATACGTTCTGCATAATCATATTGTTCATACAATTGCAGTGGAATTAAACTTGGGTGTTACATTAATTATCAAAATTTACCCAAATAAAATTTCGACATGAATTACTCGCGTAATGGGCTAACAGTTCTTGCAACTTATCCTGCAAAATAATTCATATGAATCCCTTCATTCGTAGACATACAAATATACTCATAACCTTATACATTGCTTCTCATAGCCATAGGCACAGTTTCATACTCCGCAACTGCATACCTTACTAATACATGTCATAGTCGTCACAACTTACACAGTTACACAACATATACACATATCATCAATTTTCCACACCTGTGGATATCTCACACTACATCAGAAGCTAGTATGCACATGAAAAACGTTCTCAAAACATTTTTACAAAAAGGTGTGGATCACTGGCCAAAATCCCGAGTAGTAGTCCAAGCACAGAATGGTTGAAGACCATACCTCATCTTGCCTTCAACTCTTGCTCAGCTCCCACCTATACACCTATCTACTGCTGCTGATGATGATCTGCTTACACATAGCATAAGCAGAGAAGAAGAATAAAAGAGGGTCAGCTCATAGCTGAGTGAGATAATCATAGCATCATGAGTTCATAACAGAGCATACCCCTACCATACATCTAGCAAACAAGCCAAAACACTAGGATCGGATCTCAGCCCTCCGACATCCCAATAGGCAAAAGACTCAACCACCTTGACTTATGCATATGCATCTTATCATGTTTTAATCATAGGCGCCTGGCTACTCCCATGCTAATAACTCTCCCGGGAAACATACCCCACATCCCGTCGGATGTAGTCATACATACCCCAACATCCCGTCGGATGTGGTCATACATACCCCACACCACTATGGGTGTAGTCATACCCCGACACCGCTCTGGGTGTGGTCATATCTCGTAAGAATTCTTCAGTCACCACCACATGAGAGGTGTGACTATCATACATATCATAATAGAGTAATAGCATAGGGAGCCCTAATTACTATGTAGTTAACCGTGAGACCACAACACTCATATTTGGTATCCTTGTACATGATTCGTATCTCATCTTGCTTAATCATAATTCATTACTTACACATGTACTTGACCTGGCCACAATTGGCTCAACATAGGTAAATCAGGATTCGTATAATTGCACTTCCTCGGGATACACCCTCGTGCAAGTCATCCTCCTTAAAACATCATAATATTACCAGGGAATATATATTTTCCCACTTGTGCATCCAAATACAACAATCATGAAAAATCATATCCAATCACCTTCTCGAAACATCATAAGGCATATTCACAATTAACCCCACATCTGGCAACATATATGCAATCATCAACATAAACAAGGTCCATATCGATTAGGGCAAGTCAATAATATCATACAGAAGCCTATAGTTCATCATATAGCAGAAAAGTCCATACACCCCTAAGCATGCCATTCTAATTCACCTAGGTCAATTCTAAGCATCAATATAATTATCATGATACGACAAACCCGGTATGCCGTGCTAATCCCTCACCAGTTCTGGTCGTTCAAACACCGGTTAAACCTTCCCGTACTAAAACGTCAATTTCAGGAACGAACCCCGAATTAAAATTCGAGACCGTCCTAATATCCCCTGCAGTATCCCCGTCAATATTAGTTCTAGGCTCCGGGTCAAATTCTTGATAAAAACACATCAAACCCTGGCCGGAGCTAAATTCAACGATCCCGGCTCCGATCTAAACTCAAGGTATGTGGTACCCCGGATTTCACTCGAGGTACAGTAGAAGGAACCATATTTATATATATATATATATATATATATATATAATTAATCCGTATACTTATCCGATCGATCGATAATCCAATTTTCGCCGAAATACTATTAAAACGCTCGATTTTAAATCACGAACTTTCTAGCAATCAAAATATGGGTTTTGCCGGAACGGGATGTTACAATTCTCCCCTCCTTAAAAGATTTCGTCCCCGAAATCTATCCATGAGTCGTACTCTAACTCCTCTTACTTACCCTTAACATGGTCTATCATAGATAAACCCTTTCCTAACTCTTAGAATAGGCGATTCATAACATAGAAAATAACACATAACACCTCAAGTTCCCATGTTTAGGTTTCAAAAACCTATACTGGGCTATCACAACAAAAGCACATCAACAAGCTGAAAACATAACTTATTAGGCAAGATTGTTAACCTGCAAAGTAGGTTGCTACTAACTCAGGGTACTTCTCTCGCATACTTGCTTCAGTCTCCCATGTAGCACTCTCACTATCTTGATTTCTCAACACCACTTTCAACATTGGAATTTCTTTCCTGCGAAGAGTCTTAATCTGAAAATCAACAATCTCAATTGGAACCTCCTCAAAAGTTAAATCTGGACCCAACTCGATCTCTTCTGGTTGTATAACATGGGAAGGATCCACTTTGTACCTCTTCAGCATACTAACATGAAATACATTGTGGATTTGGGATAGTTCTGGAGGCAATGCTAACTTATAAGCCACTGGTCCAATATTCTCTGTGATTTCATATGGCCCAATATATCGAGGTGCAAGCTTTCCTTTCTTACCAAATGTCATAACCCCTTTCCATGGTGACACTTTGAGAAATACTTTCTCACCCACATCGAAATTAACTTCACGCCTACTCGTGTCAACATAAACTTTCTGTCGATCTTGAGCCACCCTTAAACGCTCCCTGATTTCCTTGACCTTGTCAACTGTGATCTGAACTATCTCTGGCCCTGAGATTTGCCTTGCTCCTTCTACATCCCAACATAATAGTGTTCTACACTTCCTCCCATAAAGTGCTTCATATGGTGGAACACCCAAGCTACTATGGTACTGGTTGTTGTAAGCAAACTCAATTAAGGGCAAATGGTCAATCCATGATTCCTCCCATTGCATTACACATGATCGAAGTAACTCCTCTAAGGTAAGGATGGTTCGTTCACTCTGCCCATCTGTTTGAGGATGATAAGCTGAGGTAAAATGCAGTTTAGTTCCCAAGGCATCATGTAAACTTTGCCAAAACCGAGATGTGAAGCTCGGGTCTCGATCAGAGACAATAGAAATTGGCACACCATGCAATCTGACGATCTCCTTAATATATAGTTGAGACAAAGTCTCCAGTGATGGTTTCCATCTAATGGGTAAAAAGTGAGCCGATTTGGTCAGTCGGTCCACAATAACCCATTTTGCATCTTTTCCCCTTGATAATGGGAGACCATATACAAAATCCATTGTGATTCTTTCCCACTTCCATTCTTGAATTGGAAGTGGTTGCAGTTTTCCCACAGGAGCTTGATGTTCTGCCTTAACTTTCTGACATACCAGACACGTGAAAACATGTTCAGCCGCTTCCTTTTTCATCCCACGCCACCAAAAATATGGTTTGATCGTGTGATACATTTTAGTTGCTCCTGGGTGCATAGCATAAGCAGAAGAATGAGCTTCATCTAGTATCTATTTCCTCAAGTTATCAACATTAGGAACACATGCTCTTCCATTAATCTTCAACATGCCATCTACCATTTCAAATGGGCTTTCTTTTCCTTCCTCAATGTCTTGAATGGTTTTTGCCAACTCTGGGTCCTCCTTCTGCTTCTCACGAATTTTGTCATGCAACAAAGGTCGAATGTTCAACCGAGCTAGTAACCCTGTTACACCATCCACTTCCAAATCAACATTCATTGCCCTCAAATCAACCAGATCCGTTATATTCTTCTTGCCTTTTCTGCTCAGAGCATCCGCAACTACATTAGCTTTACCTGGATGGTAATCAATGGTACAATCATAATCTTTCAACAACTCTATCCATCTCCTCTGGCGACTATTTAAATCCTTCTGATCCATAATATACTTCAAGCTTTTGTGATCAGTTAGGATTTTAAAAGTCTCACCATACAAATAATGTCGCCAAATCTTGAGAGCAAATACCACCGCTGCCAATTCTAAGTCATGAGTGGGATAATTTACTTCATGAGGACGCAATTTCCTAGAGGCATATGCGATAACTCTTCCATCATGCATTAACACACAACCCAGTCCTTGATACGAGGCATCACTATACACCACAAACTCTCCCTGACTTGAAGGTAGTGCAAGTACTGGTGCTGTGGTCAATCTCTTTTTCAGTTCATCAAAACTCTTTTGACATGATTCATCCCAAACATACTTAGTTTTCTTCCTCAACAGTTTAGTCAATGGTGCAGCAATTTTAGAAAATCCTTCGACAAACCGCCGATAGTAACCTGCCATGCCAAGAAAACTTCTCAACTCCGACACATCTTTTGGTGGAGCCCAACTCACCACTGCTTCCACCTTTTTCGGATCCACCTCAACACCTTTTCCAGATATTACATGTCCCATAAATATTACCTCCTTCAGCCAAAACTCACATTTTGAGAATTTTGCATATAATTGTTTCTCTCTTAGAATTTGCAACACAATTCTAAGGTGAGTTTTGTGCTCCTCCTCGCTTTTAGAATAGATGAGAATATCATCTATGAATACAATCACAAACTTATCAAGATATTCATGGAAAACTCTGTTCATAAGAGCCATAAATACCGCTGGTGCATTAGTGAGTCCAAAAGGCATTACCAGGAACTCATAATGCCCATATCTTGTTCTAAAAGCTGTCTTTGAGGTTGCTCCATCTGCCACTTTCAATTGATGGTATCCAGACCTCAAATCAATCTTAGAAAAGACCGATGCACCCTGCAATTGATCAAACAAGTCATCTATTCTTGGAAGGGGATAACGATTCTTCACTGTCGCCTTATTCAACCTCCGGTAGTCAATGCACATTCTCATGGAGCCATCTTTCTTCTTGACAAACAAAACTGGTGCACCCCAAGGTGAGATGCTAGGTCGAATAAACCCCTTGTCTAACAATTCTTGCAATTGTTCTTTAAGCTCCTTCAGCTCAATTGGTGCAATTCTATATGGTGCCATTGAAATTGGTGTTGTGCCAGGTACCAATTCAATATCAAACTCTACTTCCCTTTCTGGTGGAAGGCCGGGAAGTTCTTCGGGTAATACATCAGGAAACTCCCTTACCACCTCTACATCCTCAACCTTCTTATCATTTACTACAGTAACTTGAGCAAGAAAGGCTTCACAACCTTCCTTCACTAATCGAAAAGCTTCCAAGGCAGAAAGAAAACCATGAGTCTCCTTTTTCTTAATGCCTCGGAATACAACAGGACCTTTATCTGGTCTGTTGAATAACACTTCTTTCTTTTGACAATCCACAACAGCTCCATGTGTTGCCAGAAAGTCCATTCCAAGGATGACATCAAATTCATCAAAAGGTAGCAGAATTAAATCTGCTGCTAGGAAAGCTCCTTCCACACAAATGAAGGAACTTCTAATAACTGAGTCTACCTTCAAGGTATCTCCCACAGGTGTTTTAACACATAAGGTATAACCTAGCTTATCTGGAACTAAGCGTAGCATATGTGCAAACGTATATGACATGAATGAGTGAGAGGAACCAGTATCGATCAAAGCATATAATTGCTTGCCAAGGATAGAAAGCATACCAGTCACAACTTCTGGTGCCACTTCTGCCTCACCTCGAGTCATTGCATAAACCCTCGGTGCTCCCTGTGCTCTGGTACCCTGCGTCCCACTTCCTGATGGCTGATTTCGACCACCACCTCTACCACCCTGTGAACCACCACGACCACTCTGAAATCCACTATGACCTCCCTGGTAACCACCCCTGAATGGGGCTCTACTAAATTGCACTGAAGGCTCGGACTGTGTAGCTCTTACTTCTCTCAAATGCGGGCAATCCCTCATGATGTGCCCAGGTTGGCCACAGTGAAAGCATACACCAGAAAATCTCCTACACTCTCCAAGATGCCTCTTCTGACAAACTTGACAAAATGGAAATTGTGTGGCTGAGGAAATTGGTGCCCTGTATGATGTTCCTGACATAGATTGACTTGGTGTTCTCCCAAAACTGCTAGGACCTCTCCTGGGTGGGTAACGAGGTCCAGCATAATTTACTCCAAACTTCCTCTTCTTCTCCTCTTCTTTAGCCTTGTGTTCCTCTCGGCTCTCAACTTCATAGGCTTCATACTTAAGTGCTGCCTCCTTGATTGTGGCCATACTCTCTTCATCAACCCTGTGGACCTTTTCTTTCAACCCTATGCGCAGACCATGCAAGTATCTCATCTTCTTCTTATGCTCAGTATCCGCCAACCCATCCTCAAAGTAAAGCAGTCGAACAAACTTGATGGTGTACTCAGTAACTGTCATGTTCTCCTGCTTAAGGTTGGCAAATTCATTGTTCTTTTCCTTGATAAAAGCTTCGGGAAGAAACTCTGTCTTAAAGGCCTTCAGTAACTCATCCCAGGTGAACTGAACTCGTTCACCATTAACTCTAGAGACTAAGGACCACCAGCTCCTCGCGTACCCCTTTAGGAGAAAAACATAATATTGTACTTTTTCCTCTGGGGTCGCATAAAGATATTCAAACACATCTTCCATCTCCCTCAACCACTCTACCACAGCATCCGGACTCACATCTCCTTTAAAGTCCCTACCACCCAAACTCTTCATCTTTGCATAATCTAATACTGGCGGTCTTGCATCAACCGCCCCCACTCCTCTCGACTGGTCAGTAGGAACATTTTCACAACTTCCGTGCGAGCTACAAGGAAATATTGGCCTTAGATTGATCCACACAAAATTCATTCTTCACCAAATCTCTCACTTGGTTAAAACAAAAAATTTCCAAAATAATTACTTGAAAACAAATAAGTTCAAAACTCAATTTTGAAAACCATGATGCAGGTAATTTCATCCAATATACCAATACACATAATCATGTCAAACTCAATTCCCAGTTTAAGTCATTATGGGGTACTCCCCTCCTTAGGAGTGTTTAAACTCCCATAGGGTATAGTACGCCATAACAGCAAAAAGAGGGAACCGGGCTCTGATACCAAACTGTAACACCCTACCCTATACGTTTTGCCTAATCATATTGTTCATACAATTGCAGCGGAATTAAACTTGGGTGTTACATTAATTATCAAAATTTACCCAAATAAAATTTCGACATGAATTACTCGCGTAATGGGCTAACAGTTCTTGCAACTTATCCTGCAAAATAATTCATATGAATCCCTTCATTCGTAGACATACAAATATACTCATAACCTTATACATTGCTTCTCATAGCCATAGGCACAGTTTCATACTCCGCAACTGCATACCTTACTAATACATGTCATAGTCGTCACAACTTACACAGTTACACAACATATACACATATCATCAACTTTCCACACCTGTGGATATCTCACACTACATCAGAAGCTAGTATGCACATGAAAAACGTTCTCAAAACATTTTTACAAAAAGGTGTGGATAACTGGCCAAAATCCCGAGTAGTAGTCCAAGCACAGAATGGTTGAAGACCATACCTCATCTTGCCTTCAACTCTTGCTCAGCTCCCACCTATACACCTATCTACTGCTGATGATGATGATCTGCTTACACATAGCATAAGCAGAGAAGAAGAATAAAAGAGGGTCAGCTCATAGCTGAGTGAGATAATCATAGCATCGTGAGTTCATAACAGAGCATACCCCTAATTACTATGTAGTTGACCGTGAGACCACAACACTCATATTTGGTATCCTTGTACATGATTCGTATCTCATCTTGCTTAATCATAATTCATTACTTACACATGTACTTGACCTGGCCACAATTGGCTCAACATAGGTAAATCAGGAGTCATATAATTGCACTTCCTCGGGATACACCCTCGTGCAAGTCATCCTCCTTAAAACATCATAATATTACCAGGGAATATATATTTTCTCACTTGTGCATCCAAATACAACAATCATGAAAAATCATATCCAATCACCTTCTCGAAACATCATAAGGCATATTCACAATTAACCCCACATCTGGCAACATATATGCAATCATCAACATAAACAAGGTCCATATCGATTAGGGCAAGTCAATAATATCATACAGAAGCCTATAGTTCATCATATAGCAGAAAAGTCCATACACCCCTAAGCATGCCATTCTAATTCACCTAGGTCAATTCTAAGCATCAATATAATTATCATGATACGACAAACCCGGTATGCCGTGCTAATCCCTCACCAGTTCTGGTCGTTCAAACACCGGTTAAACCTTCCCGTACTAAAACGTCAATTTCAGGAACGAACCCCGAATTAAAATTCGAGACCGTCCTAATATCCCCTGCAGTATCCCCGTCAATATTAGTTCTAGGCTCCGGGTCAAATTCTTGATAAAAACACATCAAACCCTGGCCGGAGCTAAATTCAACGATCCCGGCTCCGATCTAAACTCAAGGTATGTGGTACCCCGGATTTCACTCGGGGTACAGTAGAAGGCACCATAATTATATATATATATAATTAATACGTATACTTATCCGATCGATCGATAATCCGATTTTCGCCGAAATACTATTAAAACGCTCGATTTTAAATCACGAACTTTCTAGCAATCAAAATATGGGTTTTGCCGGAACGGGATGTTACATGATGACTACTCGGTGAATTCTTGTTATCTAGCAATGAAACTTTAATGCAAGTCTAAACTAACAAACAAGCAAAGCAAGTAAACAGTTGTTTTCAGGTTAAGAGAGGTCACCCGGATATGGTTCCCCCTAGACTGCAGTTAAGCCGGATTGCAATTACCAAGTTCAGTTTCTATGATAGTTATACTGCGGAAGGTTCTTAAACAGTCTGAAGTCTCGACTAAAGGTCTCCAGACCCTCTCAATCTGAGTCTCTAGCGGGCGACTAACCTCCACCGGAGTAGACAGATTGAGGCCCTAACGAACAAAACATCCACTACCGAAGAGAATTCGGTACAGAATAGTGAGTTGGCTCCTCAACTAAAGTCACCAACTCCCTACCTTCAATCAAGGATGCTCTATCAACCTAGGCAGATATTCTCATTCTATGTTAAAGCAGAAACAACAGGAATTTGATCAGGATTCATGCCATTCAATCATTCAAACCTCAATTGAATATAATCAAATCATAGAATCAGTACTTGGGTTCATACAATCAAACCTAACATACAAATCTAGGGTTTCTCATACCCAGATGAATGGGAGAGCTACTCCATGGAGAAAGAAGCAAAAGCATATTCAGACGCGGAAATCATACTGTGAAGGATGGATTTATGCTCCTGGACGTTGATCGGCACTCCTCCAAGCTCAAGCCAAGCTCCAATGGTGATGAAGATCAAGCTAGGGCACTTGGGGACTCTTGTTCGTCGTTTTCTCTCTCTAGGAATCGCTCTGTCTCTCTAAAACTCGAATCCCCTTCTGTTTTGGCTGAAATCTGCGTAAAAGGGCATCACTGGGCAAAACACGGTCGAGGGCACGGCCGTGTTCTGCTCCAGCCCGCCCGTGCCCTTGCCAAGTGTTAAATACACGGCCAGACTTTTGGGGAAAACACGGGCGTGCTTTTGGTGGACACGGCCGTGTTCTGTCTCAGTCCTGCCCGTGTTTTGAGCTAGTGTTTTCCAAACTCAGATCAAGTCTCGGCAGTAAAAGCACGGTCTAGGAACACGGCCGTGTTCTGATTTAGGCGTGCCCGTGTTTTGGCTCCAGCTCGACCGAATGACTTCCGAATGCCCCGAAACTCGTGCTTAGCCTTTCCTTCGACGTCTGGGACCTGAAATATGACAAAGTAGCACAACCCAGCGTAAAATAGGCCAAAAAATACGCGACTATGCCCCTCAAACGGATAAGAACTAGGGGTGCAAATATGTGCAATTACATCGTTATCATAAGCCCATTCTGATGTGACTCCTCTGCATGGGTCATAAACTCATCATGACGTGGAACTCCTCCCTCTGCATGGATTTCGTGATGTGGCCCAAGACTCATAAACCCATCATTGCCGCCCGCTGCGAGAATGGACATGTCCTCAGGTCCATTGTCACCAAATCGCTCAAACAATATGGATGTCAGCTCCCAAGTCGCTTCTTCAGCTGGCAAGGCACGCCACTTGACTAAGGATTCTTCAATCAATTTATTACCACGTCGTGTCCAGCGAGTTTTGAGAATGGCTTCCGGAACTAGATCTAAGCTGCCATCATCGGTAATGGGTGGTGCAATCGAGCTGAGGGGGTGTGTGGTATCACGCAGCGACGGAGGAGGGACACATGGAATACGGGATGGACCCGTGTCACGACTGGAAGCCCCAGGCGGTAAGCAACTGGTCCCACTCGTTCAGTGACGGAGATACACATAATCGCCGACTTCAAAAGCTTCATCACGCTGCCCAGCATCAGCTTGTTGTTTCATGCAAACTTGAGCATTATGGAGGTTGATCTTGAGCTCTTGCAGTAGCTCATTGCACTCCGTGAGTGCCCGGTCAACTTCATGAACCTGCGTCATCTCTTGTGATTAAAACGGAATTGTGGGTGGTAGTCTTCCGTAGACGGCTTGAAAAGGGGTCATTCCGATTAACCTATAGTAGGTAGTATTGTACTAGTATTCAGCCCATGATAAGAACGACATCCAACCAGGGGGTATTGATGGGAGAAGCATCTGAGGTATTGCTCCAAGCAACGATTCACAACCTCGGTTTGTCCGTCCGATTGGGGATGGTAGGACGAGGATGTGGGCAGCACCGTTCCTGACAAACGAAACAACTCCTTCCAGAATTGACTCAGAAAGACCCGATCGCGATCACTCACAATGGATCGAGGTGGTTCGTGATGCTTGATCACGTTGTTGGTGAAAGCCACGGCTACCGATTTTTCCGTGAATGGGTGTGATATGCCAACAAAGTGAGCTGCCTTGCTCAGCCTATCCAGAACCACCATGATGACGGTTTTCCCAGACGAGGTCGGAAGACCTTCAATGAAGTCCATGGACAACTCTTCCCATATCTGTTTCGGGATCGGCAAAGGTTGTAGTAGCCCTGCCGGCAAGAGTGATTGGCTCTTGGCCCTTTGGCAAACATCACAGGCTGCCACAAATCTTTTTACGGACTCCAGCATACCGGGCCAAAAGAAACGTTCAGCTAAACGCTTGTGTGTTCGAAGGACCCCAGAATGTTCTCCGATTGGGGTAGCATGATATTCTCTCAACAGCTTCGGAATCAAATCAGAGTCAGCTGGGATGTCAATCCGATCCTTGTAGTAAACCATGTCTCCTTTGATAGTGAAAGCACTAGTTGGGGAAGCTCTCGCTTTGGCTGCGCTTTGTTGTAGGTAGGGATGGCTCTTTGAGGTCAGCTTTAAATCATCCCTGAGAGTCGTAAATGGAGTTGAAAGTCCCATACAGTTAGAGGGCGAGAATTTAGCTTCCGATAAGGATCCCGTTGGATATTTGACGGTAAGCTCGGGAGTCGAAACCTTATCTCCAGCGGGTGACTTTGAGGGATATTCGTCGATGCCATTGATAATCTCGGAAAGGCGGAGTCCTGAATTCCTACGAATATGAAAAGGTGGGTTGGATCCCATTCCATGCAGCTCCGAAACAAACACCTCATCATTGGGTTGTGGCATTGTTATGGAGTCCAATTTGTTTTAGAGTACATCCTTCACATGATTCAGGCCCTCCCCCATTCTTGGATCACAATTCATGGATTGTTCTTCGGTGTGTTTTGAGTGTGAGCCAAAATGGTGCGACGGGCGACGAGATAATGCATCGACGGCATTGTTCTCGCGACCAGGCTTATATCGAATTTCATAGTCATAAACCAGGAGTTTGGTAACCCATTTCTGTTGCTCCAGGGTGGTGATTCGTTGATCCAACAGGAACTTCAAGCTACGTTGATCTGATTGGATCACAAATTTTCGGCACATCAGGTAGGGCCGCCAAAGCTGGACTGCTACA